TAAAAGTTAGGCCAATTTTAAATCGCTATTTTAAAAATCAACCGCCATTTTGGCATTGAAATTGTTTCAATAGTGGAATTATCATAACTTTACAACAATATTCTTCTCCTTTCTTCTTTCTTTTTTGATTTATTATAGCAACTGTTTGTATCAAAATTCAAGCAACACAGGGCCTTCTGCTGCAACAAGCCCACTGCGATTTGTGTGGGGAGAATCATATGGAGGGTTCAAGTCATGCCAACCCAAAATATCCTTATTCTTTGGGAATTCCGTATGCTTTCGCTGATTGTTCAAGGTACAAACATCAGCTAGAAAAACTCCAACGGTCTTTGACGACGAGCAACCCCATTGACCTTCTCCGTCAGATGAGGCCCACAATGATACTGCCAACAATCAATACGAAACTAACGATTTCAAATTGGCTCACTGCTTGAATAGCCTATTGGTCCCAAGCAAACGATTAACGTACCGCCGTAGTCGAAATTTTAGTACTACACTATGTTTGTTTTGATTCGCTATGAAAGTTTGACAGATAAAATGAGGGGTTCGTGGATTTTCCTATGTTTCGAGGGGTGCATCGATTAGTTTGGAACCGAAGATAGTACCAGAGCTGAGCCAAAAAGATGAGCACGTTTCTTCGGGACTTTCTGGTCTTAGAGTTACCTCTATGATACTGCCCTAGTTACAACACCCATCATCCGACGTATTTTCTTACGAAGATGGTCGTATTCATAGAATATTTGAAATATTTCATGAAATGTTTCATCACTTTACACACTCCATTTATATGCATCATATTTAACAGAAATTTTCACTACTTTTTCGAACTGTGCATTTTCCAGCAGAACTCATGATAGGTTCGCTAGTTTCCGTTTCTGCTACATATGACAAATTCATATACTTCTTGAAGCTAGTGACCTACATTTCTGTTACAAAGAGCAACAAAACCAGACAGGTCCCATAAATTCCCCGAGTTTATTTATAAAATAACACACATAAATAAACTGATTTCAAACCTCTACTGGCTGCTGCGGGCACCTACGAGTCGCCAAGAGATAATCTGGAATATCATCAATCACTTCACATGATTGATTCCATTCGAAATTCCTCCCAAAACACCGAGAATCACCCAGCTCCTTAGCGTGCATCTATGTGCCATACCGACTCTCACAAGGTGTGCACAAATCATAACTCCAACCAAATGCAACGCAGCAGCAACAACAACAACAACAACAACAACAACGGGGGAACCGGAAAACCGATGATCACGCACACGGAGCAACAGATCTACACCAGCAATCCCCTCGTATTCCTTACACATGCATTCGGTTAAAAATAGAAAATATGCAATTCTCTCAGCCCAATGACCGAGGCAGGGTTGCTTCGACTCATGTTGCTGTGAAAAATGTTTTTCCGATTTATGGAATCATTAGACGCTGTAATGAAATGTTGTACTTGTAAGTTACAAGAAGAGGTTGAAAAGTGTGGGTTTGACTCATAAAATCTGACAATTTCGCTTTCCGAAAGCCATAGTAAGCGATTTTATGATTCGTGAACGTTCACTCTGAGTGGGCGCTCACGAATAAAAAAATCGCAGATCGTCATGCGAAAGCGAAATAGTCAGGTTTTATGTGTCAAACCCTGCCTCACTTTTTACCTGTATAACGACTTTGAAAACGTTATTTAAGGTGGGTTTAGACTAGGCAAGTCAAATGATCAACTCAGTTGAATTCAATTGGCTTGAAAAGTTGAGCCTGGTTCAACTTTTTTTCAATGTGAGTGAGTTGATTAAGTCAGTTGAATGGCATGGTTTGGTAAATTTTCTCGACTTCCCTGGGCATAGAGTATCAGAGTATCATTGTGTGGCAACAATATACAAATTCATGAATTGATATTGGCATCGAAAGCTCTCAATTAATAACTGTGGAAGTGCATTTAGAACACTAAGTTGAGAGCATTTCTTCTTCTTTTTCGCATATCAAGCTTATTGCTAAGTTGACAGCACGTAATAAGCTAATATGCGCTAAGCAATAAGCTTAAAATGCGAACAAGAAGAAGAAGGGACCATGGTGTCTTTCGTTTGGAGGTTGATGAGTACAATTCGGTTTTAAGGTTACCGGGAAACACGAAATATTGATTTTTCTTTATATATGCACTAAAAAAAATAATCATAGCATACTTAGTTTAACTTGCTCAATTAGCCAAAGGATTCGCAGCAACACTGTTTTATTCTAATTTGGAAGGGATCTGGATGAAATTTATCCACTTTGGAATGAAATTCATCTGCTCAGATTTTATTCAGTGCAAACGTGAATAAGTTTTTTATTAGAATAAATTATTTCTTGTAAAAGCATCCATCTTGAAATGCATAAGCAATTTGTAGATAATAAGTCTTAAACATCATAATTTTCAAAACTGACGGTGTTTAGAAAAATCGTTTTGAAATCTTTAATTTTTTTAAGTGTAGTGATGATATTTTAAATGTTTTGGCATTTTCTCACATAATTCTCTACAAATCACTCTTGGACAATACATTTGAGTAGCTCTTATCATTTTTTAGTTATATTTTTCTGTAGAAAAGTTGAAAAAAGTTTCACCCTGATCAAATGGAAGTCCCGATTTTTTAATGAAAATAAGTATGCAAAGTTGCTTAAAGTAGACAACATCTTTACATCCACATTGTTTCATTGAAATCTGAGAAGGTGCAGCCAACTTCATAGTCGATTTGATGTGACAAAGTATATATACAGGGTGACTGGTAATTCGTGGTACTCCCGAGACGAGGTGAAAGTAGTCCACATTTGCAGTAAAAAAAATGTATGGCAAGGTAGGTCAAAACGTCATTCCTTACCGAGTTATTGAGCAATTCATTTTCTACTGATTCAAAGTGTCTCATTTTGCTCGGGTATTCATAAGCAATCATCTCTGCTGTGATGTCCTGCCGGATTCCAATCCAAAGCTTGCTTGCCAATTTCGTTTCCGCCCTTCCGTAGTGTGTGGCCGACCCACCTCCACTTGCGTTCTCGAATTTCTGTTTATAGGGGAAATGGGCCCATTGCTAAAAATTTGCTATTTATCAATTTTATCTAGATGAACGCGTCATTGAGACGGTTCTAATGGATATTATTGGATGCTATTGAAAATTTAGTCGATTGCTGAACTTATGTATGGGCCTAAATTAAGGACACTTAGACCGACATTACATACATTTCCCCTATTACATATAAATGTAACGTTTAACGGTTAGAACCTGATCAATTTCATTCTAAAGTAAGCCTGTGGCGCCAATTGCATAGAGTGGATGCTTACTCCCTGGTGGGCTTTGGTAATATTCGCGAGTGCCCGAGCAAAAAGTGGTAGTGTTGCTCAGTAATGTAAAATAAATAGATCAATAACTCGGTAAGGAATGATTTTTCGACCGACCTTGCCGTACATTTTTTTTGCTGCAAATGTGGTCTACTTTCGCCTCCTTTCGGGTGTAACACGAATTACCAGTGAGTACAAAGTATCATTACAGCATCTAATGAATCCAAAATTCCGAAAAACATTGTTTACAGCGAAGTGAGTCGAAGCAACCCTGGACCGAGGTGTTACACACCAAACACAGAGTATGCAGCACGCAATGCTTGAAACTAAGGTGCATGCTTGGCGCAGATAGCGTAATGGAATGCCCTCTCCCTACGGTTTTCCACCCGAGCCGAAAAGCTGATAGGGAAATGCATCTCCTCGGGAGAGTATGGCGCGTGATACTAAAAATAACCTCCGGCCAAAAATCCGCTGAGTGCTATAAGCTGATGACTGTAGATGAACGGCCAGCCGAAAAGTAAGATGCGTATGCAAAGAAAGTCGTTCCATGAATACCGCAATGCACCGAATACCGGACCCGACCATTAATTGGACATTCATAACAAATATGTCTGATGAATTAGAACGATACACACATACAGTGATAATAAACTTTTAAAAGCGTCCGGATTTATGGACTCCGGATTTCGAGTCTTGACGGTGCGGAGAGGGCGACAGGGAGATCATGCGACGACGATTGTGTTGATCGCACGCGCATCTTCCATGTTGGGCGGGGAGGGGTGTAGACTAGCGCGGGACGAAAGTGAGTCGTGGATCGTAGGGTCACCAGGTGGTACAGATCTGCTTAATTCATGATTACACATATTTGATTGCGGTCAAATAAGCTCAGATAACCAGATGTTGTAAATGGTACATGTTTACCCATCCGGAATTTTACGGATGTGTTTTTGAGGACTTCCGCAATTGCTAGTGGAGAGCTTTCTAAGCATCCAGGGAAAAATATTCAGCAGATGGCAACCCCAAATCTCGTCATTCTTGCCGCGCCACATCTACGATGGGGGGAGATCGTGATTATTGCTGCTGCTGCTGGCTGCTGTTGCCGAATAGCACACGCTCCCATGCTAATGATTTTATGAGTAATAAATTTTCCTTCCTTCATTCAGTAGTTTCTTTTCTTTTCGGGCGAGGAATGGGGATATTCGCACACACACATTCCGGGCCTGATGCATTTCACTCTGCGCCTCTCTGATGGTCGACACTTAATTGGTGGGTTGCCGACCGCTCATCTTAGAACCGTAATCGACCCGGAACGACACGACGAGGCGCGAAGGAATGCGCTATCGTCTCCCTGCAGCATTCTCCCAAGACCACCGTCAAACACATGGTCCTCATCCGTACCTCGTCGGAAGAGTGCGTAGTGAGTTTGTGTGTGTTTTTTTGGGTGATCGGTTGATTATTGCTTCTCTATTTTCGGGTGCGGATTTTCAGCCGCGTGTTGAAACTTTATAGCGATGTTATTTGAGCTGATTGACACTAACAAATTGGTCACTTTGGGGGTTTTGGACCGGAATGCACCCGAGAACCGTTCTCGCCTAGATCGTGATATTTTCGTGCCAGACAAAACTGGGTCGACTCGACGGAGCCGTTCCAACATTACCACAAGAAGACCAAAACAACAGAAATTCATTACTCACCGATCCCTTGGAATAGTTCCACAGCGTTTTGACGACCCCTCCGTTGCTGGTGGCGATTCCGTTTACCAGTTTCGTTTTTACGTTTCCTTCCCGTTCCGGATCGTACACCGGCGAAGCGGACGGCGTAGTTTGCGATGAGCCACCTCCACCCGAACCGACTGACGAGGGCTGATCCGGAATGGTGGCCAGTCCGAAGTTCACCTCGAAATCGAGCGACCGGGTAAAGTGGTGCTGACCGGCTCCCCCGTACGGACTGCCACCGTTCTGGTTGAACGAAAGCGACCGGGCGAAGGAACTCTTGAAGTACTGACACGGTGCAGCCGACGAGGACACGTCGAATCCTGTCTTCTTCGGAATTCGGACCTCGTTGCTCTGCAGGTGCGTTTCGATCGTTTTGGACATTTTGTTCTTCCTGTTGAGGGGTTTTTTTATACACTGCCTGTTTTACTGTGGTACTAGTAGAAGTAGTAGTAGTTGCCAGATAAGTTCCACGCAGGCACGCTTCATTGACACTTCACTGCTGTTTTTGGGAACGACATTCGGCTGGAATTCTCGCCGAGGGAAGCACTCAGTCACTGGAATAGGAGAAAAATATGGTAAAGTGTTATTAGTTAACTATCTAACTTTTATATTTGAAACAATTAAATCTACGTGTATCTGACGGTTTAACGGAATATTGTTATCTAATCAAATATCATGTCTAGATGCTTTGTAGGTATGCGACCTGACACCGAAAAATTTCTGAGATATTAGCTCCAGGAGAACTTTAATCGGTTTGGTTAACGAAATGTATGAGTTAAGTCCAAGAAACTTTAGAGATCATTGAAGTTTATTCCCAATGTAATAATTATAAACAATATGTTTGAGTGTCCAAATACTTAACAGTTGCTCCATAAATTAAGAAGAATTTTTTATTCTTTATTATTGTTACATCAACAGGCTATTATCAAGCCACAGTGATGCCACTTAATACTAATAACAGGAATTGTTTAAGCTTATAAAGTGTGTTGAGCAATACAACTCAAAACTTATAGTTGGAGTTAATAACTTGAGAGGATGTTCAAAAACATGCAATGAGAAAAAATCTCAACAGCCTTCAAGTTTGATCCAACAAGTTTATTACGACAGCTGTCGCTCTACGAATAGGTATGTATCTTGGTGGAATAAAACCTTGGAAAAATTTCACAAGAAATCCCGGAAGCTATTTAACCGGGTAAAAGTTACAATGGAATCAATATAGCAGGGCTGGTAGTGCTTATGCGATATAATAGTAGTGACTTTAGTGACTACCAATACGAAAATAGTGACCAAATAGTGACTTTTAAATAATAAATAAGTAACCAATAGTGACATTTATATGGTGACTCAGAAATTCAAATACGGTTTGATATTGAAATAAACTCCATTTTTTGTCATGGAACCTAAATTGGGAAATGACTCTAATGTTGGCCTATGGATCTTAGATTGGGCCCAACGCTAAAAAACTGATATTTATCAATTGTATCTAGAGATGAACTAGATATTTTTGGCCGCTATTGAAAAAATTTAATGTATAAACCAATAAAGCCATTAGGTTAAATAGGGCTTAATAGATCATTACTACAACATCCGTATTTTTCGTAGATATTGAATTTGATTCTGCTTTCGAAATCTTAAAAAATTGTATATATCTAGGTAAGTTAACCTTGATAATTTGCTATTCCCCTTCTTTTAAACTTGCCTCTGAAATAAGCTGAACAAAAATAATATTGCATTCTTAAAATACTCTGCAGAACAATCCACGAAATAGGAAATTTTAATGTTTCTTCCAGGAATTCCCTGAAGGTTCATTCCAAAATCCATTTTAGATTTACTTGAATTCTCCTTAGAATTCTCATGCAATTAACATCAGAAATGTCTCAAATTACTTCTCTGAATGCTCTTGGACCCTACATTTCTTACTATCTTTAGGAATATGGGAACCTAGTATTTCCTCAGAATTCTCAAAACAAAAATCGATCTCAGAAATTGCAACATCATTCCTTTACAGCTATCCGCTGAGTTTGGAGACCTTTTTGAGTTCACGGGATTTCGTTGGAATTTTCATCAGACCTCTCTTAAAAAAATATCCCAACTTATTTTAAATATTTATTAGAATTTGGACCAAGAATCCTCATCCAATCGTCATTCTTCTAAGAACTCTCTTTAAAATGCACCTGGAATTCATCCAAAAATTGTTTTGGAGCTGAATTTTGTGCTTTAATCATTTAAGCCTTCAACCAGTTTTAGCCGAGGTGAAAAATCGGCCCTTAGAGCACCTACATTTACATGACACATTCGTAGTGTGTAGTTTGATATTCTTCTCTGAAATATTTTGGTGTCATCCTTAGAATTTCTTTGAATTTTTCTTCAAAATTTCTTTAAAAACTTCTGAAAATCTAGCACAAACCGGTATGCTTGAAAAGTTTCCAAGGTTCAGAATTTATTTTCGGAAAGAAGAAGTTTATTTTCCTCGATTTGTCCCGAAATTCAAGGTTTTTCGTAGTTTTTACTGAAGTAGTACTGGTGATTTGAAAGGTATTGGTTGGTTGGTAAAGGTTGAATTTAAATTAATTTAAGGGTTACGGAAAAGTTTTTAATATGGAATTGGGCTAATAGGGTTAATGTCAGCCTAAGTGTCCCTAATATTGGGCCCATAATTTAATTTCGAAGGCAAGCATTTTTTTTTGATAATGATAAACTAAAAATCAAACATATTCATTTGTATTGTCCAGATGATGCATTGCTCTACGAAATTGGAGAACGGGAGGCCAAAGTTAGTGCTTTTTTTTTAAAGCATTCTCTTCTGATTGGGATGCTAAGAATTAAATAAATAATTACAGTCAACTCTCTCTTACTCGATCTCTCCTTAACTCGATTCTCCCTAACTCGATAGAAATCCAGGGGCCTCATTTTGCAAGTCAAATCAAACTACCTATCCAAAAGCGACTAGGCTACTATATATTGATTCCGTACAACCTGTAAATGTTACGTTGGTGATTAAGAATGCACAACTAGCATTATAAAATTGAAATTGTCACTGCAAGACGCTTCTGATCAAAAGGCTTATCTAGCTTTTAACTATCTAGGAACGATTGCGCAATAATAGTGTGAACCAATGATATGTTCGCTCATGAACGGAATCCAAAAACATAAATTATCAGTTCAGTTACGTTCTTTGAATTTTAGCGTGCACCTTTTCAAATAAATATTTTACAATTTGTGAAAATGAATATGTTTTGATGATATACAAATTAAAATGATCAATAGAAAATTGCAACACTAACCGTCGAACATTAGCAATCAAAACTAACTTCGAATATATCTTTAATTTGCAATGGTGTGGGATACAGATCTCAACGCATAACCAAACAAAATGTGCAACTAACACGGTATTAGAATTCAATTAGTGCATATGCAATCAATGAATCGCTTTCATCTTATGTTTGTTTTGTTACATATACTTAAACTAATTACTTTCATATAGCTTATGCTACTTTATAATCAGAAAAAAAATAAAATTTATTATTAGCGAGTGCAATGTAAACAGCAATATTTGAGAATTATAACGAACTTTGTTACAAATATATTTAGCCACCCTGCGTTTACGTCAGTGCAGCAAGAGTGCAGAGAGTGAGAGGTGTTGGGAACTCACGATTTATTTTTAACTCAGTTGCCGGCGCCAGCGAACTAAGAAGGCATACACAAAAGGTTAGCTTGCATCTACTCCTTCTTCAACAGTAAATTTAGACTAGATAGTAAAGGCACCAGATTTCCCACTAGCCAAGATTGTTAATAAACGTCTGGGTTCGAATTCCTGTGGCAGCTATATAGACGCTTTTTGTGTTTGTAAAGCAGGCTAAAAGGAAAGAGAGAGAGGGGTGTTGTGTTGGGGTGGGGGGGGGTGGTGCTCTCCGCAGATGGTTTTTTAAATATTTTAAAACAATCTAAAAATATAAAACACTCAAAAAATATGTTACCCAAAAACCGTGTTAAAAAGTCCAGTTCATAACCTTTTTAGTTTTTACCCTAATGGGCTGATCATATATTCATTGCTAGGCGAGTCGTGGAAGAATATTGGAATGCAGGAAAATATCTAATTGTTTTAGCGTTGGATATTAGTAAGGCATTTGATACAGTAAATGTGCAGAATTTAAGAGAAGTTTTACTTAATTTAAATGTTCCATCTAGATTAGTTGACAGAGTGTTATTACGCGTTAGGGATGAACTCACTAAAGTTTTATGGCAAAACCAATTTTTTAAAGAGTTCAAAAGAGGTAAGGGAATTAAACAAAGATGTCCCCTGTCACCTCAACTTTTCAATTATTTAATACAAGATATACTTAAATACGTGGCAAGTGATATTCCTGAATTAGAATTGATAGATATAGATTGCTTAAAACTGCCGGTAATTTTAGCATTTGCCGATGAGATACTAATAATAGCAAGAAGTATAAATGTGTTAGAAAATATGTTTAAAGTCCTAAAAGAGGAGCTATCCAAAGTAGGTCTTAAAATCAATAGGGAGAAAAGTAAAATTTTAGTTAGATACCCAAATGACACAGCAGTACAACCAAACGAATTAATGCTTAATGGAACTGTTTTTAAAACTAGTGAATTTATTAAGTATTTAGACAGCAACCCTAAACAGGAAATTAACCAATAGGCATAGACCTATAAACGCTTTGAAAGCTTCAAGATTAGTAGTAGATTTTTGTACAAGATTTCAATCGAGTTGGGAATTAGGAAAGCTTATATATACTACAGTTTTGGCGCCAGTGTTATCATACGGAACTAAGGTAGCGGTATTAACAAAGAAAAACAGGGTGGCACTAGCAAACTACGAAAAAAATATTCTAAGGAACATTTTTAATAGCTGTAAAAAACCAAGTATGTAATATGAAATTTAATGCAAGAAAAATTTTCGAACAGAATCATAAGTTTATTGAGGGAAATCCTGAAAGTAAAAGTAATTCTGATGACTTTTTGGAATGATCCTAAGCAAATCCTTGGCAAATTTTTAAAAGATGTCCAGTGATGAAATCCTGGAAATTTTGAAAAAAAATACATGATTGCGTGCACAGATCCAGGTCAATATCCAGGATTAACAAAAGTTCTCAACATTCTTTGAGTGTTGATTGTGATTGAGAACCAATTTAAAGATTCTGGTCTTAGAAAACAATCTTGAACAGTTGGAGTCCAGTCGACTCAATTTTGTCAAAAGTGGATTTACTCAAAAGTGAGTTTAATTTTACGGGCAAAAGCCGTGGAAAACCAGATAAAGCTTCTCGAATATGAGGAAAATTAATAAATATTTTACGCAGTCTAAGAGTATACTAATAGACTGAGTGATCAATTTTCCTCATATTCGAAAAGTTTTAACTTTTTAGTAAATTCACTTTTGACGAACTCGATACTCGACAACCTTCAGAGAAGTCATTGACCTTCGGGGAAGTTCTACAAACATCAGGAAAATTCTACAACGCGCTTCGAATTTCAGAGAAGATCTCCAAACTTTAGGTAAAGTATTACCAAGGGAAATACTGCGATCTTCAAAGAAGTTCTGCGAACTTTAGGGAAAATCTGAAATTTTCAGGGACGTTTTACGAGCTTCAGGAACGGTTTGCGAGCTTCAGAGAAGTTCAATGTCCTTCTGGTAAGTAGAGTTCTGTAAACTCTAGCAAAATTATTTGAACTCAAATGTAGCTCTGTAAACTCCAGAAAAGTTCTACAAAAATCAGAAAGGTTCGTCAAACGTCAACAAAGTTTTGCAAACTTTAAGACATTCTGCGAACTTCCAAGAAGTTCTAAGAACACCAGGAAAGTTTGAAGAACTTCATCGAAGTTCAACGAAATCCAGCCAAATCTATTAACAGGGATTTGAATTTGAATGTGGCTTCTATGAGCCGTCTCGTCGGATAGTGGGGGAACTCTCTCCCACACCATGTCAGGGAAAACAGGTATGACTGTAAGAATTTGTTGCGATATATCTTTCTTTTTTACGCTATCCTTATGAAATGTGATGAGGGCATCGTGAAAATGATTGAGCAGGAGGGGGCACAAAAAATGAGAGTTTGTCACCTAAAAAAAATATCCTGAGTAAGGTTCTGTCCCCGTAACGTAGATTGATCACCTTTTCGTGGTATGTTACGGAATGTAAGATCTACCACCGATTCCTAGTCTTGACTACTTGAAACTAGGGGAACAGGATTTTTCAGTAATCAAAGGAACACATCTTAATCCTTGTTACTTTTTATGCCTTGTTGATAGTGATAAGTCCTCGGGTTGCCTGGACCGAGTATGATCTTGAAACAAGGAAAAAATGAGTTAGTTAGTCTTCACCTAGGTGATTCCTAATCTTCTATTCGTTGTTCCCTAGTTTGAAGTGGTTAAGACTAGGGTTCTGATGCATGGTCATTATCGGTGTCATTGCTTATTTTTATTGCAAAGGAATCCAATTTTGACTGACAATAGGGTGCGCCTTTGGAGGGTGTTCCAACACTCCGAAGGGTATAAATTGTGATGAAAGCAAGACAGACAACTGTATCAAAACCGAATACTTCATCATTTCTCAATAGTGATGGAGTAATACGACATGCATTAAACTAAGGACACGGGATATACTACAATAGATCAAATTACTGGTCGCAGTTGTTTTATGTCCCGAACAGTGGAAAAAAGGCTCAATCTTTCATACAACCAAAAATTTACCTCCTCAGACATTCAAAATAAGATGATAGTTCGATATTTACCTCATCCTTGACGATCTTTTCTGAGCTATCTTTAATTCAATACAATTTTGATCACCGCAAGTTCACAGATAATTATTATAAGATGAAATAACGATGACTGATTTTCTAGCAGCAGGGCAGGATTTGAGGGGGGAGCAAATGCAGCAATGGAGGTCGGTCAAATATTTGTTGTATTTTTTTTCATTTATCATATTTTTTCTTCTAAGGCAAATAATTTTCATTTTACGTTCAATCATAAGGTTTAGTTCTGAACTTCTGATTTGATTTTGTACGTTTGTCATCCAATATATCTGAGCTTGTTGGTCACTAATTATTGAGTTGAGGTAAGAGATCTTGCTATTGAACGTAAGTTTAATTAAATTGAAAAATCTGCTTTTTGTGTAAAGAGAAACTCGTCTCTTAATATCTATCACCAACCAACATATTTTACCCCGGTGATCAATTTGCCCCAGGATGACAGTACATAGTTATATATTTTTTTTATGTTATGTTGTGAAATATAGATGTGATTATTCTGAGACAAATATATGTTTATTTTCATATCAAGATGGTAGGAGGAACAATACGATCCCGCATTTCAAAATTCGAAAGCAGCCCCTTAATGATAGACCGCCCCCCCCCCCCTCCCCCAGATCCTAAATTCGGCACAGCCTATCAGCAGATCTTACCGGAAAATTTAGATCTACTGTATTCTGCTGATCTACACAATGAAAAATTTATTTTTATATCACATAAAAGTGGATGATCTTTAATCGTGTTAAAAATATGGAGTAATATTACTTACCAAAAAGGACAAAATTATCATTACTACAGTGCAGAAACTGACATTACGCAGTAAAATTTGTTTATTTTTGTGGCCATAAAAATGACAACAGATTTTCGACATGATTGAAGTGCATCCTCTTGGATGTAATATTTAAACTATTTTTTTGCTGTGTACGTAACGTAATCTTCCACCTGTATAGTTTATTTTCAAAGGACAAAAGCACTTGTATCATCATAATGCACCTCACCTGAACAAATACTGCTGCTATGCTGCCACAACACACAAAGATCGAATTATACCGTCATAAATATCCGTCTCACTCAGAAGAAAAATCACGACAATAAACAATCTCACGGATGTATCATCAGATTAGTAGCAGAAGACACAGACACAAAACGGTAAAGGCCACCGACGAACGCAGGAAGACAAGTTTGGCAATATCCAAATAACCTTGACTCGCAGGTTCACTCTCTTTTCTTCTTCAAACAATATAATTCGCAACAATCAAGCTATGCCACTCCTGCACACTCCTAAATAAAACCAGCACGTTTGGATCTCTTCTCTGACTGTGTTTTAGACAATAGCAAATGTACCGCACAACTCTCAACTCGACACAGAATCGGCACACGGTCACTTTCTATTGTCACTTGCTCAAACTACCGGTCGTTTCTATCTCTCGCTATCTCTCTGCTCGAAACAGCTGATTCAGCACATCCACTCGCTGCTGCTGCTGCTGCTGCTGCTGCTGCTGCTGCTGTCTCGTTCGTTATTATTGGGACAGAAGGCGGAGGTGGCGAAGCCGGTACTAGTGGAACTACTAGTGTTTTCAACATAACTGAACTTGCGTCGCGGTGCTACTGGTTCAGATGACGGACGGAAAGCGGCGGCCATGTTTCGCGAGACCCCCGACAACAACACAGTATGATTTTTGCACAATTCTTTCTGTTATTTCTAGTCGAAAAATATAATCGAAACTCTTCTTTTTTTATCGAACTCACTCAAGCCTGACGACGGGCGGAGGCTCACTGCCGTTGGTTGATTTTTTTGATGCAATAGCACACTTTGGGGAACCAGGTGAACGGCAGCGCGAATATGCGCGCTTTCCGCGAGGGTCTTCTTCTGCAGGCAGAGATTTCCCGATCGAGATAGATTGTACTGCATACACTTCGTATTGGTGTTTATTTCCGGTTTTTTAAAAATCTTCCTGCAGCAGTGCTCTTCTTGGATCTGCCAACACCGTCGTTGATGGGAAGATCACATTTAAGCCGGAGCTGATCTCAACTTCATGCAATAATTGCATCACTTGATGGAGATTGTTACTTGAGAAACACTCTTGTTCAACCTCTTTCGCGTGTCTCATAAAACTCTCGTCCAGCTTATCAAAACACATAAAAAAGCTTAATGAAAGTCACTAACACCGAATTTACACTCGTTTATTTCTGCGACTCTACCCTGTAGTCTACGAAGCGTCTACAGGTCACAGAGTTCCAGCACTACACATGGTCAGCGAAAAACAAAACTGCACACCGAAAATCCAGCCAACCATATCAATGCAGAGCCCGCTCCTAATCAGCCTCGAAAACCGACAAAACTTGGTTACTCGACTCGCGGTGCCACTTCAGTTAAAACTACACAACGCTGGAGAAGACCCCCGGAAAAGAATCTTCCCTTCACTGGCATCGAATCGCACCACAAATCAGCACATTCTCCTTCTTCTGAGTTTGATTACATTCGACACTTTCGGCTCTATGGTTAGTAGTAGTGGACGCATGTTCTACGAACCGGAACGAATAAAAACATAAATAATTCAAACCCCGTCACTCAACCACGGCTGCGTGGTGCTTATTGCCAAACAAGGTGAAAATTTTCGTTCTCCACCGGCTATTCTTCTCTCATTCACCGCGCACAACACAACACAACACAACACAACACAACACAGTTCTAGCTAGACGGATGTATGAAAAACCACGCACGTAATCAACAAAAAAGCAACCACTCCGAGCGCGTTCCAAACGGCGAATGAAGAGACGGCTCTTCTCGTCGACGCTCGCTCGCTCGCTCGCTCGGTCCCGGTCGTCGGTCGGCAGATCGGCGTCGGTCGAAGGGAAAGAGTTTCCTGCTCTGCTGCTGCTGCTGCTGATGTGGTTGTTGTTGGTGCTGTTGCTAGAACTCGCGCGAACGAAATGAGACGAACGCGTGCTCGCTCACTTTGTACCTACCAACATTCGCTCTGTAAGCTGCTGCACAACTGCACTGCGAGTGCAGCAAGCGGTGCGAGCATTGCAAGTATCGACCGAAAGCATGTTTTGATTGTGGAGCATATAGTAGCATGCATCGCTCGCACCGTGACTGATCGATTGGTTGTAGGGATGCTATTAGGTCTTAGTATTAAGGCACTTTAAAAGTTAAACATCCAGATTATCGTTCGAATAGAATAATTACTACATATAGGTTTTACAAATCCATAATTTTACTTCTTTTAGATCCCTCTGAGGTTTGCCAAATCAATTGAAGTTCTATCTTGAAGTTGATTCAGTAGTTCAGTATCACCCTCTGTATACACGTATTTTTGCAGCCATTTTAAACTGTTTGAACATTTAATAACTACCTCTTAGGTAGAATAAAACAACATCTCACTGACAGGAGCTGTAATGGTTACATATATTCGTTTGTCAAAAGAACGTTAGTTAAGTTAGGGTGCACTAGTAGAGGTAGGTCCTATGAACACTGGACATAGACATGGCCAATGCTTGTCTTATGCAGCCATACGTACTGTCAAAAAGTGCAGTCTAACGAACAGTACTGTTCCAAAACAGCAACAGTTTGAGCTAAGTAGTCGTACATTTATCATTTGGTTCCACATAAAGGGTGTATTCGTGGAAAATGGCGCACATATAAACCAGGGTGCCTTTCATTCATTTTGGCTAAACAATGTTTTATGAAATCATGGAATAATAAGATAGTATGATAATATTTTGTTTGTTTTTTTTTCTCTTGATTTGCTTTTCTGTCGATCTTGTTTGCCGTGCTGAGCACCTATGCTACCGACGCCATGTTATGACGTTTTATCTTTTTTTTTTTGTTCTTTCTACGCTTTCGACTATACATAAACAGAAAAAAAAAGTTGTTGAATATTACATCCAAACCATCGGTTGTGTAATATAACGTTGTACGATGTACATCGATTTTGCGAACAAAATTACATCCATTGATGTTATTACATGTATCTGCTTTTTGCTATTACATCATTATTTCATACATCAGCTTGAATTACATTGATCGATATTACTTCTTTTTTTTTGCTGTGTCCTAGTAAGCCCTTTAACATTTTAGAACGACGCACAGACTTGCCTCAATTTTTTTTCCAATACCCGTTTAGCAGAAAAATCATATGAAGTCGAGTATTCGGTAAGGAGTAGCTTTAACTTTTTAACTATTATACCCAAGGGGTGAGACAGCTTTACCCTGAGTCGCTTTTTTGCAGCGAGTAACTCGCTAGTAACTCACTGTACCTCAAAATTTAGGATGCTAATACCATAGAGGGAACTCTAAGACTAGAAGGTCCCGAAGAAACGTGCTCAACTTTTTGGCTCAGCTCTGGTAATATTGTCGGTCCAAAGCTAATCGATTCACCCCTCGAAACATAGGAAAATCCACTAACCCCTCCTTTCATCTGTCAAACTTTCATAGCGAATCAAAACAAACATTGTATAGTACTAGAATTTCTACTAGAATGGGGTACGTGAATCGATTTACTAGGGACCAATAGGCTAGTCAAGTAGTGAGCCAATTTAAAAACGTTAGTTTCGAATTGATTGTTGATGGTACTATCTTCGGTCCCAAGCTAATCGATGCACCCCCCAAACCATAGGAATATCCACGAACCCCTCATTTCATCTGTCAATCTTTCATTCACACAAAAAATAATCGTTACTACAGTTAAAAAATCATTGGTAGAATTAAAAGTTGGTCCTTTTTGGTAGAAAGTCTGAAGCATTCAAAATATAAATGTGTAACTTGTCAAATCAAAAGTTTACCTCTTCGTTAATTTTAAAAGTTGATGCTTTTGAATCAAATTGTAGAACTGTCAAAAGGAAAACCAATGCTTATGAAATGAAGTGCAAACTGTTTCAGTTCGAAAAGAGTTGTTTTTATTATGACAATATATCTTTTATCTCAAATTTTAAATATTATCATATTAATGATTTTCAAGATTTAGAAAAGTAGCCAAACTCATGTATCATATTTAAAACATAAATTTATTCATTTATCTTATAAAAAAAACAAAGAAAATAGGACATAGTTTATGTTAGTTTGTGTCCCAGCCCTATTAGGAATCAAAGAAAGGATAATCCTACACAGCAAAAAAAATGTAATATCGATCAACGTAATTCAAGCTGATGTATGAAATAATGATGTAATAGCAAAAAGCAGATACAATATTACATCAATGGATGTAATTTTGTTCGCAAAATCGATGTACATCGTACAATGTGATATTACACAACCGATGGATTGACCTGGTTGCATCAGTTTCGATGTAATATTCAACAACTTTTTTTGCTGTGTACTGTTCATCGTTCTGAGTCTTCTAAGTGACATGGGTTGAGTCAGATTCTTGTCCGTCTTGTAATGGTCGAAGTATTGAGTCGAACCTAAGCTCCACGGTCATTTCGGAGCATTCTCGTGTTTCCATCCTTTAGGGCAACGACATACAATACAATACAGTGATCACTTGACGCCGCAATTTCAGTACTACCAACCGGTGGAAACTAACGATTTTAAATTGGGTCACTACTTGACTAGCCTATTGGTCCCAAGCAAATCGATTAGCGTACCCTATTATAGTCAAAATTCTAGTACTACACTATGTTTGTTTTGATTCGCTTTGAAAGTTTGACAGATAAAATTAGGGGTTAGTGGATTTTCCTATGTTTCGAGGGGTGAATCGAATAGCTTGGGACCGAAGAGAGTACCAGAGCTGAGCCAAAAAGTTGAGCACGTTTCTTCGGGACCTACTAGTCTTAGAGTTACCTCTATGGTACTTCTCAATGGAAACGGCATTGTTGAAGACATCTTTCAGCTGGAGGTTCACCAACACCAAAACCAGCTCACTAATGGGTAATTCCCTGTACATCATTGTCTTGTACGTTCATATGTTCTACGCCCACGTACGTTTTGTGGTCAGATTCCGGAATGATGGGTTGGGTGCCATGTAACTTGGTTTGTTGTAAGGATAGTCTTTTTCCGAAGGAAAGTCCGATGTAAGCGCTTGTTTGTCAAGTATAAGCGTACCTACAATGTAAACATAAATTTAATCGATCCTAAGAAAAAGAATTTTCCAACTCACTTGCATGCCCTGTTGCAGCGGCTGAATCACAATCGATCACCGGAGGCAGCTTCCGAACACCGATTTAACCCATTAAAAAATTGGGTTCTTTAATTTTGAAAAATGTATTGGTTTTTATACATCATCTTAACGAGCTTCATTTTCTGAGCACAGCGATATTTTTTTCGAAAACACACACTTTCATCTCGATTTTTAAATCAAGATTTAAAGCCAAATAATAACTTCACTCTTTGACACTAAACTGACAAGCAGACAGTTCGCTCCCATACAAAGTGACACCGAGGGGCGCTAAGAGGGTGATTTTTGCAAATGTAATCGTTCTTATTTGAAATAGTTCCAGTGTACCAAAATTGATGAAATTTTGGGTTTGGGTTCCATTTCTTATGCAGATTACGAATTTGAATTTACCTCAATACCCTTAAAGAACATAATTGAAATTCCATAGAACGATTTTTTTTTCTCGTCTCGTCAACTCTACTTTGGCGGCAATACGGTTCAGTGCTGCCAAAAACGATACTATGAAGAAGTATTTTTGACAGTTGAAAAACTTTTATTTAAAAAAATGCACTTTAAAAATGACAAGTCAGAAGTGAAAGAAAAACTTTCAAACCAAAGATATAGCTTTCATTTTGAAAATTGGCACTGTTAAAACTACTAAATTTGGGAAATTTTTATTTAAATTTGCATTTTATTTATAGCAACAATTTTTTTTTTTGTGTGTAGCGAATCAAAACAAACATAGTGTAGTACTAGAATTTCGACTAGAATGGGGTACGTTGATCGATTTGCTTGGGACCAATAGGCTACCCAATAAACATTAGAAGTGGAATAAGAGCTTATTCAGTCAAAAATACACAGCAAAAAATAAATTTTAATATTACATCCAAGAGGATGCACTTCAATCATGTCAAAAATCTCAGGTAATTTTTATAGCCACACAAATAAACAAATGCAGTATAAGCAACGTAATGTCAGTTCATGCACTGTATTAATGATAATTTTGCCATTTTTCGCATATAATATTACACCACATTTTCGACACAATTGAAGTGCAGCCACTTTGATGTGATATTAAAATTAATGTTTTGCTGTGTATGCTTCGTCAGCTAAAAGATTGCTTATTCAGCTTTTAATCAGCACTAATTGTTTGTTGAGTAGTCAAGTAGTGAGCCAATTCAAAATCGTTAGTTTCCACCGGTTGCTAATACACTCCACATTTTTCTATCTCCATTTTCTTGCATTGGATCTCAGCTCGGTTTATCGCATCCTCTATTCATGTGGTCTCCACTCAAGGGCTGAACACAATGACAGCGGCAAAGCGACTATCCAGTATTTTACGATCGCTTATGGCTGATTTCTGGTAGGGAACATAAGATTTGAAGTTTGGGTTGTGTCGCTTGACGTGTAAACGATCAAATTTGAACGTTTACACGTCAAACGCCACAACCCAAACGTCAAATCATATATTCCCTACCAAAAATTCGGCCAGATTGTGGCGGCCATAAGCGATCGTAAAATACTGGATAGCGTCACAGCGGCAAACGCGCAATGTACTAAAATCACGCTAGCCGCTGTACCACTGCCACGTTGCCGCATTCCTACCCATAATGCATGCGCGCACAATTTATTTATTGTTCCTCTTCCGCTGCATGCTGTACGTAAACAAACCACGTAAACGGGATTATTTTGATTGCAGTTTTGAGTTATTTGTTATTTGAATAAGGTCTAAAAGATCACTAGAAGGTCTTCTGAATAATTAATCAGTCTGAAATCTTGTAAAAATATCCAAGGGGCTTGGAAATTCTCCGAAGTTCAGTGATCGTCTCTGAATTTGCATTAACTTAAAAAAATGTGCGAGCACTTTAAAGAATTACCGAAAGAACTCTTGGGAAATATCGAGAGCTTTGGAGAAGAGTTATGAATATCAGGTGAATCTTAGGGAAGTCCAAGCAACTCTAATTTATTGAGAAGCTAAAAGAACTTCTGGGGAGTAAAGATATCTTTAGGGAAGTCCCACCAAACGAGAAAGTTTAAAGATCTTCAAGAGAATGTATCGGACAACTTCGTACATTTAAGGAAAATGTTGAAAACTTCATCGAAGATCTAGGGTAGTTTTTAGGAGAACTTCAGAGTAGTTCTGAGTAGAAGTTCAAAGTAGTTCTGACGATAACTTCAAAGTATTTATGTGGATAGTTTCAGTGTAGTTTTGAGGAGAACTTCAGAGTAGTTCTGAAGAGAATTTCAGGGAAGTTCCGAGAACTCCAGAGAAATTTCATTGGCCTCAGGAAAATTTCGGGAAATTTATGAAACTCCCCGGGAGCACTCGGAACATTTTTTTTTTTTTAATTATCATGTAATTTGATGTGTAGCATGTAGGTGTTTAATAAGAATCTGACCACGCAACAAACATTGAATGTTTAATAGGAGCTTATTCAAGCAAAAATAAGTTTCTTGAGCTAAAAAATAGCTTATTCGGCTGTTGATCATCTCAAATTGTTTGTTGAGGAGTTCCCCGGGGGTGCCCGAAATATGTCCGGATGCATGATTCATACTACGACCTTGGATGATTATTTGGTTCACGTCTTGAAGGTTCTGGTTAACTTAAAATTACAAAAAATACAGCACTTCTCAGGCTGCCGCTGAACCGCACTGCGTTTTTCCAAAATGTTTAAAAAAGCGTTTTAGTACAATGCAGCTTTTACCACAACGTGCTCATTGTGGGTTGTCAAACGGATTTCAGTGTATTGGAAAATTTGCTATGCTATGCCGCTATCATTGTGTTCAGCCCTTAACATCCTGTGATGATTAATTCCTCGTTGAAATCGCTGCTTTAAATGTTTTTTTTTCTGATTCTGGAATATGCATATTTTCCACAAACTTTAACCTTTAAGAAGTTTTTGAACATCTGGGCTAAAAGAAATTTTCAAGAACCAAGAGTTAAATCAACAATCAATACGAAACTAACGATTTTAAATTGGCTCACTACACGAAACGAAAATCAATTATTTTATTCATGTGTTTCACTTATACATTTTTGCCAAAACATCAGCCTTATACATTCCATAAGACAAACCACATAGGTCCTATAAGAATGCATAAAAGGTATGTGTGACCGCTTACACATTTCATTTGACACATGATCTTCATTAACTTTTTGCAAGGCGTCTGCTTATTAGTAGACTTATACATTTTATGAATAAGCAGCAATACAAATTTGCCAAAAGGTATAAGGAAATTTCTATCCGTGTACTTGACTAGCCTATTGGTCCCAAGCAAACGATTAACGTACCCCATTCTAGTCGAAATTCTAGTACTACGCAGTGTTTGTTTTGATTCGCTATGAAAGTTTGACAGATAAAACGAGGGGTTATTGGTTTTTCCTATGTTTCGAGGGGTGAATCGATTAGCTTGGGACCAAAGATAGTACCAGAGCTGAGCCAAAAAGTTGAGCACGTTATTTCGGGACCTTCTAGTCTTAGAGTTACCTCTATGGTTAAATCCCCTACACAGTTATTAAAACTCTAGGAATTTGAATATAATTTATATAAAGATTATTCCGATTCCGGGAGTTGCGAAAAAAAAAAATTGAGAAAAAAAAACAAAGTGCAATCTGCTTTTAAGATAATTCTGCTGAATTTCAGATTTCATGTAGAATAAGAGCACAAAAATCATGGTTTCTAAGTATTTGACTCAGAGGGAGAGATGGGCGGAGAAAACAAAATACAATTCTAGAAGCTAGCATTTCACATGAATTATATTTTTGATTCGATTTACCTGCAAAATAATAATGGATTGCATCGCAAGATTTTGCACAATTCTTGGTGCCATTAATTAACCAACTAAGATCAATCAATCAATAGGGTCAGAATATTGCTTTTGATTCCAAAAACTAGTTGAATTTGAGAAGCACACGAAACATAAATGTGATTGAATTTCTGTTCGATTGCAATACTCTCAAATTTAATCTAGTAAGAATAAGAAATCCACGGACAAAATGAGAATGTCCGATTGGCTCAGATTTTTACAGTTCATTTGGCACAAAACATACTCTCCGCCCATCTCTCCCTCTGAGTATTTCTACTTCTAAGTAGCGTTGCCAGTATTCCAGATTTATCTGGATTTTACAGATTTTCAGCAGTCTTGCCAGATACACAGACAGATCACGTTTATTTCCAGATTTTTAAAATATGTTCCAGATTTTTAAAATATGTTCCAGATTTTCCCAGATTTCTAAAATGTGTTGCTTTATAAATATCACTGCAATTCATGGACCCTCTAATCAAAAAATAAAAAAGCCAAACATACTAATTTAATTACTAAAGACCATCAACGTTGTACATTATTGCAACATCATACATGGAATTATTACAACATGTTGCAGAATCATGAAAATTGAGAAATTTTCTAAACATTTTTGGCTGTCAAAAATCTTTAATTTTTTATAAATATCGAGCCAAGATTTTTTTTATTTTGAGTTTTTGTTTAAATTTTGGCTACCCAACAAGCAATTTGAGCTGAATAAGCTATTTTTTAGCTTAAGAAGCACATTTTTGCCTGAATAGGCTGTTACTCACCTTGAAATGTTTGTTGGGTATGATAATTTTTTTTTTTTTTTGAATCATGGATTTACAAAAATTAATGTTTCAATCTGGAGGGATTTTCCTAATTTTGGAATTTAGAGAAATTGAAAACTCAACCACATATCGTAGCTCACACGATATTGATAGTTTTGGGTAATATGAAATTTTACGGTAGCTCACATGATATTCATAGTTTTGGGTAATCTGAAATTTTTGCGAAAATTGCCGGAGGATGTCAGAACATCACATCTTACTCTTTCAAGGGTTAATAAACAAATAAACACCACCTCGGCCCAACTAACGAATTTGAGAACCACTGTTGAATAATATTCAACTGTATTTTAATTTGCCATAATGTATGCTATCCGTGTATCCGCGATCAATTTGACATTTCCAGTGTAATATCCTACCCCTGCTCACTAACGCACACACACAAAACAATGCGAAAAATAATGTTGGAATCATGTTCCACAAATCAAGCATGGCTGCAGATATTGTTTTGTTCCATTCGGCACAACTTTCGGCTAATCGGTGCGTGAACATATTTCAGTAAATTTAGGAGCCAAAATGGTCAGAAAACTCAAGTTCCATGAGCAAAAACTGCTTAAAAAGGTCGATTTCTTCAACTGGAAAGAAACTAACAATCTTAACGAAGTAAAAGTGATGCGCAAATACAACATCCAAAAGCGCGAAGATTACACTACGTAAGTTTTATCGAGCAAAACAACAGAACATCCTATTTTTTTTATTGAAACCCCCCATGATTTTACTTTTAGTTATAACAAACTGTCGCGAAACATTCGGGAGCTGGCAGGAAAAATCGCCGAGATTGACGCAAAACACCCCTTCCGGACGGAGATGAGCGGTTTGCTCTTGGAGAAGCTGTACGTCGTGGGTGTCATTCCGACCAAGTGGGATCTGGAGAACGCCAGCAAAATCAGTGCATCATCCTTCTGCCGGAGGCGACTCCCGGTGGTACTGCTGCGCAACAAGATGTCCGAACATATCAAACATGCCACCCAGATGATCGAGCACGGCCACGTACGGGTGGGAGCCGAGGTGGTAAAAGACCCCGCCTTCCTGGTACCACGAACACTGGAGGACTTTGTAACGTGGGTGGACGGATCGGCGATCAGGAAACATGTGATGGAATACAACGATATGAGGGATGATTTTGAGATGTAATAAAATTTGATATTTTTTGATGTATAGTTTAAAAGTGTTTCCGTCTTTCTTTCTAGTAAAAAACAGCCGTTGAGTTCTTATTAGCGTTTATTTCAATGTGAGGTTCTAGTTACGCAAGCTTACAGCGTCACTGTTGTATGTAGAGTTAAGTTGATTTTATATGTTTAATGGTCAATGTTCTTCCCTAGTCAATGAATAGGATTGTTGACAATTTTAAAATTGAATTAAGGTACACACTGATGATACCTTTGTAACTTAATGCGAACAATTATCTTTACTACATTCTAGTCTCAAATGGAGTCCTGCCTGTTTAGGCTTCAGCCTTCACTTCCTTGTCGGCTCCGTTGGCATCGCCATTGGTGGCCTTCTTGGCTCCGGTTTTCTTCTCGGTCGCCGATACTTCATCTTCCTCCACCGTGCTGTCATGAATGTTGCTCTGATCCAGTCCGTTCTTCTCGGTGTGCTTGAATTTATCGTACCGCTCAGAGCTGGCCTTTTCCTCGTCCTCTTCTTCCTCGGCGTCCTCCCCTGGGTCAACTACCTCACGCAGCAGATCTCCGATATCGTTATCGACCACCTCCCACATTTGATCGTCAGTGGTTTCCTTGTTTTCTCCTTCGCCGGCTTTCTTTTCACCGGAATCCGGTTTCTCACTGGCATCCGCTTCCGAAATGCTGACATCTTTCTCTTTCTTGGCATCTGTGTGAACGAAAATTGAGATTAGATGGATACGGAACAACACACTGGTTAAGAATTTTACCTTTCTTGGCCTTAGCATCGCTGAGTTTCTTCTTGTGAATTCGTTCGGCCCGTTCTCGTAGTTTCTTGTCTTCTCGCTGACGGATATACAATTTGAGATGTGATCGAGTCTTGCAGTGAATCGCAAGTATCTTCTCTGGATCTTCCCGCCTGGGCAGATACATATTGCACAGGTCGCAGTACTGAACCTCGACCTTTTTGACGTGTTCGCCACCGATAACGGTTTCCTCATCAACATCATCGCTATCGTCTTCGTCGTCTGTTCCCGGACGACCAATGGATTCACCCTTCTTCGGAGTGGACGCGTTATCCTTGCTGGAGTCGGTCGGTTCATCTACATTGCCAACTTCATCGACAGTGGTGAAGTTCTCCAGATCGATTTCCGCTCCATCTTCGCCGGAATCGTCCTTGTTGGCATAGCGTTCGACGCGGGCTTTGAATTTAAGATGATCCAGTGAGGCTCGGTGCCCTTCGTAGGCCATAGGGCTCTTGAAGCCAATCTTGCACGTAGCACAGTACGGCATCAGGAAATGCTTCATTTCCTTGTGTCCGTTCGATTTTTGATGGACGGCCTTCGGTTGTCGGAAGTTCAGCTGACACAACGGGCAGTACGACGACTTTTGCTCGCTGCCTTCCTCGACCTTTTCGTCCTCTTCCTTCTGGGCAGCCCGTTGAGTCTGGCGCATCTCCATCAACTTATCGCGAGTTTGTCCCGCGATACGACGCATGGCAGCGCGGTGCAATCCACGGAACAGATGGGATGCATATTCCTGTGGAAGATGTTTGGCATTTAGGAAGATTGGTATGTTTGAAATGGCGCAGCGTACTTACCTTGAAGGTGATACACTTTGTACCGCAGTGGCAGCAGTCCAGCTTGATGTACGACCGGTGGTACTTGGTAGTGATCTTAGTGTCCTTTTTCTTCTTCTCGCTTTCCTTGTCAACTGATTTCTCGCTGCTGGGCGTTCCCTTGACCTTAACAACGATTTTTTTGGTACCCTTCTTGGGGGTAGACGGATCATCTTTCTTCTCACCTTCGCCTTCTTCGCCCTCTTTGGATTCATCCGCCTTGCCATCGTGACCTTCCTTGTCTTCGGTGTCCACTGTTTTGTCCACCTCGGCGTCTTCATCTTCCTCGTCGTCTTTTACCGTTTTGTCACCATCATCTTCCTCTTCATCCTCCTTGGATTCCTTCTTGATAGCCACATCTTCTGCTCCCAAGATGTCCTTTTCCTCATCATCGATTTCCTCGTCATCATCTTCGCCTTCGTTCTCCGTGGTGTGGTCATCGTCCAGCTCCTTGGCAGCAGCCAGAGCACGCTTGATAAGGGCCCTGTGAGGATAAGGGAAATTAGCACCGGTAAAGCGTCCAGCTTCAGGTCACCTTTATGGCTGAAGAGGACAAGTAACATTTGGGCATAATGATCCTTCTACAATAAATCAGCTTTCCTGGATCTGAGGTATAGACAATTGCAGGGTAGCCACTGGATTGAGGAATTTAAATTCCAGGTTGTGGTCCTGTCTTCCTGGTTTAATGGCAACAGCTAAATATGATGAAATGCCCCAAATAGCATTACAAGTTCGAAATTTTATTATTTCGGATAACGTTTAACCCATAGAACCAATAGACTGTAGTTGTGAGATCAGAGTATGTAGATCTCAAAGAATTTCGGTGGAAAATTGCAAGGAAATTCCATGATGAATGTATGGCAATTTAAGTAAGTCCACCCCCTCTCTCTTTAAGCTTTACCGTTTTTGCGTTTGCTCACAGGCGCTCCAATGCGCTCAAAGGATTGGATCGAACAGACGCACCCAATCTACGTCAGACGCAATTAGGTGTAACATCTATTAAGAGACGCACACATTTTGAGGTTAAATTTTGCAACCACTAGCAACATCTAGATTCTACGGAAATCCTCAGGATCTCAGTTCAACTCCTGAATGTGCCAGTGAGAGTTGAATTTATATTTAGCCTAAAATCATCGAAATACCCGTTTATGTGAGTAATGTTTGCATAACTTGCAAAAATGCAACTTCAAGCATTGAGCAACCATCCACCGAATAATTAAGTTGTTTGAAACTAGGGAAGTCAGAGTGTTTTGGCATAACAAATTTAAAAAAAAAACAAGTATCTCTTGGAGTGTCTTGAAATATTAACGTAGATTTTGTTTCCGATAATAGAAGAACTAGGATTATGTTGCAATAGGTCTACAAACATAGGTTGTAATTCCAGAAAGTTATAGCACACAATGTCTAAAAAGACAAGGTGGTCCAGAGTAGCCATGGGCGATGAAAGAGTTAATAAGTTCTGTGATTAAGAAATAGTTTCCTGAATTTGGATGAAATTCCCTGATATTCCGATATTTTGGTAGTCGACACCCTGTGTACAAAAGCAGATACGGCAATCCACTCTTGAATTATCCGATCCAGAGACAAGTCCGGAACATACACTACCTACGGAAGGACAAAAACACAAAAAAGTCCGCTACACCTACAGTGTCCACTCCAGTAATTAAAAAAAAAATCTTTTAAACCTATGCCCTAGACAATTCAAGCTGAACATTGCATTAGGTCCTGAGTAAATTGATCGATTCTCTTCGTGGACATTCTCTTTCGTTATTAACTTGAGCAAATAACTGTTTCTTGTTGTTTGTCGTATTAGATGTTGGATAAAAGCTTGAAAATACTTGAGAATGCCGTGGGGATACAAAGAGAAAGCCGACGAAGAGAATATGTCAATGTTACTTAGGACCTAATGCAATGTTCAGCTTGAATTATGACCACCTGATTCTTATAAAACCGATTTAAAAATAATATGCCAACCGATCATTATGCGAATTACTTTAGAACTAAAAAAAATATATATTTAAAATCTACTTACTTTCGAGAAACCCTGGTAGTATCGGTCAATTGAGAAATGCGCATCTTCATAATCCGCTTGATGCCATCATGCCGTCCCCCGCGGATCGGCCGAAAGTTTCTTCTCGGCGGCGGAATGCCAATGTCCCGCCGAGAGCCCATTCGGTTGGTAATCATCCCGCGGCGTCCATCGTTCCTGAAACGACTAGTAAGCCTACCTCTTGTCGATCCCCGGCGTATGGTCGACATCGGGAACGAATCGCGCGAACCCATCGATGATCGACCCATCGGTGGCCCACGGCCTCTGGTGTTTCGTGGAGCGACCGACCTAGGCGGCCCCATCGGTTCCCGGGATCTATCACTGCCACCGCGTCCCCGGCTGCTGCTGCGATTATCCAACCGATCACGGCCAATGCCGCCACCGCCGCCGCCGCCACCACCACCACTGCTGCCAACCGACGATGAATGATGTTCATTGCCACGTTTGTCGTAGGATGAGCTGCCACCATCATGGTACCGGCTGGAAGAGCCACCGCGACCACTTGCACCACTACCATCCCTACGGTGATAATCTCCGCCGCTGCTTCCGCTGCCGTAATCTCGGCGACCTCCCTGCGCGCGTTTTCACATCCAATGCCGCCAAACGAGAGGAATCAATGTTGTCGACCCGTTACGTGTGATTCAGCGGCATCAGGAACATATGTGCGTGATTTTTAGCGCGCGTTTGTGTGTACATACAGACACAGGAGAGATTTTAAAGTTGATGAAGATTGAGGTTGAGAAATTAGTATGAGTAAGAGTAGTGGATGTTGGTATTTATATTTTTTGATTTATTGTTGGTGGTTTTGGTGCTAATGTGAGCTTTAGTAGTAATTCTTTCGAGTTTGGCTAAAGATAAGAAACATATCAACCATATCCTGGTCGTCCCCCTGCATTCTGTATCTTGTACTCGTTATTTCAGTTTAGCCGCGATGAGTCGAGTATGGTAGGACAAAGAGAAAACAAACAGACGAGGCATCCTGGTCGCTGCCGTCAGAAGCACAACATCAGCTTCGCAGTGCAGGATCCCTCTGGAAAGCGGTCAGCTATATATTGCTGGCTTAAGGAAAAAAATAAACATAACATCGCATTTCGGATCCAGATCCACGCTATCCCAACAAGTGCATCGATGAATGCTTTTCAGCTACAATCTCCTAATCATTACACAACTTGAGGATCTGATCTTTTTTGTTATCTCTTCCTACATCGCTTCCGCACTTGCTACAGACGCCATCAGAGGTGGACAAACACAAACTAGATACAAGGTAGGGCTCATTCCAGCTTCGCGCACTCATCCTGGATCCGTTTGGAACGGAACTGTCTCTCAACAGCACAATGAAGGTTGTGAATTTCACTGGATGCTATTATCATGGTCCAAACCGAGGACCGAGGAGATGCTATGCGCGTACTACGTGGCTAATACAAAACTGATCTCACTCAAAATCAATCATTCAATCGTGTGGGTGCATTGCATTCGGAGAACGTTGCCGGCTAGTTCGGCGTACGCGGCTGGCGACGGTCACAGTCCATTTTATGTTCGGTTTTTCCACTTCAAACATAGCGAATATTTATATACTTTCTTCAAGTTCTTCAACATGACATTGGAGCGCGCAGGGAAACTCTAGAAAGGCTGCCGTTCTTCAAATCGCATGCTCGCCCAATCCGAGATTTCACTCTCCATGCATCGATCGGGTCAATCAGTACAGCAGATTTTGCACGTTCGATTACTGGATGGAGATGAAATTGGCTAACTTAAACCGGGTTCTTTCAAGCATTTCCTGCTTCTCTCTCGATTCAACCAAACTTGAGACTTTTTGTTCTGGATTCGTTCGAATCATTAGTGCATTCATTTTAGAAGATTATTCATTCAAGTACGTTCAGTTTTGGTCTCATAGAGGAAGCTTGTGAAAATAGTTCATACTATCTGTTCTATTACTCTTCTTCGTCTTTAAATTAGGATTTTTGAAAGGGTACAGTAAACAGAAAAAAATAGATTAGCTCAAGAAAAAACTAATTTCGGTAAATGATGCATATTGATGGAACAACGTTCAACGTACATGTACAGTCATCGATTGTAAAAGTCTGAAATCTTTAGCTAACAGCCGAAATATCCTTTTACTTTACCCGCATAATTACCTGAGAGGAATGATCCGTACGGGGTCTCTTACGATCCGGGGAACGACGATCTCGTGAATCCTGTAAAAAGAAACGCCATTACATAACCTTTATTGATTTGCTTGATTACTTTCACAATTCGTTTAATCAATGAAACCACCACCCATGGGACTCTCATCCATCAGGTACACCCCATTAACTCACCTTGTAGGATTCGTTCCGCTTGTAGCCACCACCCTGGCGATCATCTTGCCGGGAATACCGTCCGGTATCGTAACGGGACGACCTGGAATCGCCATAGCTTCCACCTCCACTGTATCGATTGCGGGAGCTGTCCCGTCCGTTGTAACTGCTGCCACCGTGGTGGTCCGAACCACGGTAACTTCCACCTCCGCGATAGGAACTACCGCCACGGGAACCACCACCCCGCGGATAACCTCTTCCACCTCGCGTCATACTTCGCTGCCTCTTTTTACTATCGTTTATTCCGGAACTTGTCTGCAAATTCAACGGAAACAAAAAATCGATTCACACTACGCTTACATTAGTTCTCATTCTAGAACCAAGACAAGACACGCCACAAAAATTTTCATCTATTCTGATAAATTAAGATGGCGTCCGAGAGCCGGGCAGACGCTCCACTTCGATAAAAATTTAAAATCTATTTTTCACTGTCGCAAACATCATACGCACCTGGAAAATTAGCCAATTTTATAACACGTCACTAAATGATCACTTTCCGTTTGTTTTCAACACTTTTCAATAAGACTTTACAGAGCAATTTTATTAATGCAACGCACAGACCAGCAATGGCTGACCAGCAAACGGGAAAATTTTCACAAAGTATGAAAACAGCGCACACGCCGAAGCAGTGAAGTGCGAAAACCAGCGCAAATGGCGTTGACGGCACCGTCGAAAAATCGTCTCTTCTAGAAAAGATTGACAGTTTCTTATGGGATTTCTCGGTGGAGTGAAAGGATAGTACAAAGTCCGCCATGTTTCACGAATAGTCTGACGTTTGCTTACGGATTTTACCATAGGAGTAAAGAGCTATAGAGTCGCCGTCAACGCCAAAGACACGGGAGAAAAACGTTTTCCACACATTGACAACCAGTGTTTTTTCAAGGGATAGGAATTCGATTATTTAAATGTCAAATTAAAGCATTCAGGAAAGCATACGTTCTGGCGAAATAGCAGTGGAAAACACGCTATCCTACACTCAAAAAATTTATCACATATCTAATGGATGAAAACCATGTGAATTTCACATACACAGCAAAAAAAGTTGTTGAATATTACATCGAAACTGCTGCAACCAGGTCAATCCATCGGTTGTGTAATATCACATTGTACGATGTACATCGATTTTGCGAACAAAATTACATCCATTGATGTAATATTGTATCTGCGTTTTGCTATTACATCATTATTTCATACATCAGCTTGAATTACGTTGATCGATATTACATTTTTTTTTGCTGTGTAGCTTTCATGTGATCACATAGCTACACATCTCACCACAAAATTACATGAATATTATGAGGCCGATGAAATTCATATGAAAAATCATATAAAATTAAAGTGATCGCATAAATGTTATGTGAAATTCAGATGAATTCCATTAATTTTGTTTATGGATAAAAATCATTTGCAATTCCAATGGAAGCTACACAGTAAAAAAAAATGTAATATCGATCAACGTAATTCAAGCTGATGTATGAAATAATGATGTAATAGCAAAAAGCAGATACAATATTACATCAATGGATGTAATTTTGTTCACAAAATCGATGTACATCGTACAATGTGATATTACACAACCGATGGATTGACCTGGTTGCAGCAGTTTCGATGTAATATTCAACAACTATTTTTGCTGTGTACATGAAAACTATTTTCGGTGTAATAGCGAATTTGTTTATTATTCAGTTCCAACCTGGATCGGGTATCAAGATCGGCTCTGCATGTTTTCTGACAAACATCAGTTTTATCGTTTGTTTTTAAAACCTACCTCAGGATCAGGTTCAGGTGACAAAAAGTTCGGTTTCACACCGATAATAAACAAATTCGCTATAATAAAAAAGGGTGGCTTCTTACCACCGACAAACCGACATGAATGATCATACAAAGTATCATTAAATTTATGATCAAAGCACAGACAAACAGACTTAACACATTGAATATTTCTCACTGTAAAACATCGTCGCTAAAACTTTACCGCCATCTGTTGAGTACACTGTGGTGGGTGGTCCGCTGAACAGATGCGTATAGTATGTAAACATCAAACTCAAGGGAAATGACTATGCGCGCCACAGTCGGCGGTGCTATCAACAACTTACGAGTGTTATGTCTGTTTGTTTATGATCAAAGCACAAAACTGACATCTGCCGCCGTGTTCGCGAAAAATGTGTATCCTAGCCACGAACACACATACTAAATGTATGAGTTGGTTCGTGTCTAATCTATTCCGGGCAAATTATTTTTATCTAGATAACAAATTTCTATGGTTTTGACAGATGAGATCGCTGCACATTTGAATCCGTCGTTATGGATTCTCGATCAAGAGTTAAGTTTTAGTTTCATGTCGGTTTGTCGGTGTTCTTACTCTTTTATCTCTACGCACTTCAAATCAGCCAATCACGAGCTTGTTCGCGTTTGACAGAAAAGTGGTCTGTCGTGTTCGTCGTATTGTCTCCTCTTCCTCTTAGAGCAACCGTACCAGTCGTTGCCATTTGCGGCACTATTCAAGCTGAACATTGCATTAGGTTCTAAGGCTCTGAACCATTTGGTGGATTATTTTAACTTTTGGTTAAAATTTGACAGATGGAAAGTTATCGATTAACCCTGCTATCCGGGCGTGGTTATTTCTGACAGACAAGAAGTTAAATTTTGACGACCGTGGCTCGAAAACCGGTCGATCTACAGCACGGGGATTTTCGAACATAAGAAATAACTTTCGAAATGTCACTTTTAACTACGAGTTAAATTTAATTCGGCAAATGGTTCACAGCCTAAGTAACATTGACAGATTCTCTTCATCGACTTTCTCTTTGCATCCCCATAGAGATTAGTGACGTTTAACGCACGCACACTAGCGGGAGCAACGCCGTGTAAAGTTGTTTATTATTTTCCTCTGGCTACCCGGAAAAAAATAACCATACAATTACCATAAAATAAAATACAATTACATCCAAATCTATTGCCAACAATCGATCTTATTGTGCGTATATTGTACAAGAAATTTTAACATATTGTTATTACATTAGATGTACAATACGTCCCATTTAGTATGAATTTTCAACAATAGAAAAACAATAAAATGAATGGTAAATGACTCAAGTTTGTTCGGGAAAAACTGATTTTTTGTATGGTTAAGATACATAACAACCCCCTTGTTCTATTGTAGATTTCTCAATTTACCATAGATTATATTGTGAAAACAATAAATTCTATGGTTATTTTATAGTTGTGGACGATACAATTTATTTTAAGTACAATAAATTCTATTGTATGGTTACAATACATTTCATTGTACCTATATCGTTCTTTTTTTTACGGGTAACCTAAAAAATGTATGAAAGTAGGTCTGTCAAAATGAGTTTGACATCGATTTGTTATGTATTTTCCTCGGATATTCACTAACACACTCTCACGTATCGCACCAATACAACCGGACGTGAAAATCTCAATGGGCATGTAAAGACATTCCCAGATATTTTCAGTACATAGATCGATAAAAGAAGCTTTTATCTACCATCTAATACGACAAACACATCAAGAAACGGTTATGTGATCAAGTTATTAACGAAAGAGAAAGTCGACAAAGAGAATCGATCAATGTTACTTGGGACCTAATGCAATGTTCAGCTTGTATTTTACTTACGCACAGCGTTTCCATTTTGGCTTAATCACTCCTCTCCACACCGGTCGTTGCTATCAAAGTCATAATTTAAGTTACCGTTTTCCACCGGCCACGGCCAGGGTAAACGCGACACGTGACGCGACTCACGCAAGAAATAATAATAAATAATAAGATTATTTTGAATTGGTTGCGTCGCGTCACGAATCACGTCTATACTCTGGCCGTGGCCCAAGGTGCGGATTGCTATTTCCCCCCACCTGAATAGCAACCCCCGGTATGCAAGTAGCGTTATGGTAGAGGTTAGTAAATGTGCCTTATTTACTCATTGGTATGGTTGCTCTTAGTTAATAACGCATTAGTGATAAAATGTGCTCCAAATTGAAGAAAATACGCGTTGACTTTACTTCCTTTCCGAAGGAATACGTGATCAGAGATTTGGTCGCCATAGAAATATACCAACGACCTCGGCTGGGGTGAGAAAGCAGCGCTTACCACTATCACGAAACGAAAATCAATTATTTTATCCATATGTTTCACTTATACATTTTTGCCAAAACATCATCCTTATACTTTCCATAAGACAAACCACATAGGTCCTATAAGAATGCATAAAAGGTATGTGTGACCGCTTATACATTTCATTTGACACATGATCTTCATTAACTTTTTGCAAGACGTCAGCTTATTAGTTGACTTATACATTTTATGAATAATCAGCAATAAAAATTTGCCAAAATGTATCAGGAGATTTCTATTCGTGTTCACCACCGGTGCCAAGATTTGGCTTCAATCTATGCGTGACTATTTTTTTTTTATTAACTCGTGTTTTTTTTTTAATATGCTCAAACATCTTAAGAACAGCTCAATGAAACCACACACTTAGATTTTTTTTGCCGAGATGGGCACCACCGCGCAGCTCGGCATTTTATTTTGCTGGAAATTCAGCAAAAAATATGTTTGTTAGCTGAGATCTCGGCAAAATTCCCGTTTGTTAGCTGAATCTCGGCAAGTTGTTCGCTGAGATCCAGCAAAATAAAATGCCGAGCTGCTCGGTGGTGCCCATCTCGATGAAAAAATCTAAGTGTGCAAGTAACTTAAGTAAATAAATTTCAAGAATACACCCCTTTTTTTTTAAATTACCATACCCGATGAATAATCCAAATGCTAGAACCACAGACAAACAGACATAACACTCGCAACTTGTTCATCGAACAAGCATTTAACGGTAAATTTAAAAATATCGTAGTTGGTAGTACCACCACCTGTGGCACGCATATTCAATTCCCTTGCGTTTGACGTTTACACACTACCGCCATCTGTTCTGCGTACTACCCACCACAGTGTACTCAACAGATGGCGGTAATGTTTTAGCGACGATGTTTTACAGTGAGAAATATTTAATGTGTTATGTCTGTTTGTCTGTGCTAGAACTATTCCACAAATGGTTTGGATGATATCTTGAACACGTCATTAAGAAAAATAACAAAACAAATTATATTAGGGATATTATAACTAAAGATTATTTTTTTTCCTTTGATCCGTCGATCTTGTTTTCCGTGCTGAGCACCAATGCTACCTACGCAGCTCCCACACCTGGACCCTACCTATCGACCCATCAACTCATGAACCGGGGACCAACGGCTTTACTCCCCTCAGTTATCAGAGATGTTATGCGGCGGTGCCGACTGGGATTAAACCCAGGCCTGCTGGGGTGAAAGGTAATCACGCTTACCACTCTACCACTGGAGCTGCTATAACAATAGATGAATATATATTTATTATATATGTGATATTATTTTTAGTTCCTCATCCGAGCCTTCTTATAAACCGCATCATTCATGTACTTGAACCTGGGCTTTTGTTGCTGTTTCTTGAATTTCCTCTGCAATACTAATTTTTATAATAATGTTTTTTCTAGCATTTCATTGCATTGAAATATCAACGAAGCTCTCTAAACTTCTACGAAGATTTCTGAACT